CGGCCCTAAAAAGTAAATTTTTGTACCTTTATTTGTGATTGGCCTACTTACTGAACTTTCACTTTTTCTGTTCAGTTGTTTGCTTTTTTAGGAAGACTATCATACCATCTGTAAATAATGATAATTTTCCCATCTCCTTCCCAATCATACCTCCTATTTTGTTCTTCCATCCAGTTGCATTTTCTGGCACTTTCAGCTCAGTAATGTATACTAAAGATGATACAATCACCCTAGTCTTAATGCATTTTCCATTAATGATAATGATGTTAAAAACAAAGAGATTAGTGCTCTCTTCGTGTTTCCCCAAAAGTAAGACCTAACTGGTAAAGAAGCCCTAGCTTGATTTTCAGGGTGCCCGTAATATAAGCCCTACCCCAAAATAAGCCCCAGTTAAGATCATCAGCCAGACATGACTATATTTGAATAAATGTAGATTTTTGTACATGAATAAATGAATAAAATTCATCTTTTGGAGCAAAATATAAGACCTGGTCTTATTTTCAGGGAAACACGGTATTAGTGTGGTATTTTTACTGTAATTGATAGACATTAGCTGTGCTCTGACCAAACAAGTTCACTCCCTTTAGCCACAACATGCCTTACACTTTTCTGTCTCTTCTAGTTATCTTCATGAAATCTCAGATTGCTGCATTATGGTGATCTGTAGTCTATATACTACTCACTGGACAAATGCCTCAGGGACTGCTTTATAATATCTCACAGGGACCTAAGAATGCTCTACCCTCAAAATACTGATATAAAAAGAAGGCTAAGAAGGAATATGTTCCCCAAATAGCAGCCAGAACTCTTCCATCTCAAGTTTCCTTGTCCAATGTCTTTGTGTGTCTTAGGTGTGTCTAGAAGGATTTTTCAAAAATCTCTATTTTAGTTTTCACCTGTGTGTTCTTCCAGCTAGGTGTTTAGCGGTCAGTACCATGTGTTATCGTGGTTTGTTTATTGAGCTCCTACTATAAGATAATATAGCATAAATGAAAGTGAACTCTGAAGAAAAATGCCTACATGTTGTATGTGACCTTTGGTAAATTATTAATCTTGACCACAATTCCTAATCTGCAAAATGGTAATAATAGTATCTCAGGTGTTCTAAGGTTAGACGATTTTGATATACAGAATGTTATCTGGCTCACAGTAAGTAATTAGCTACCTTTATTAACCATGTGCCAACTACTTTCCTATTTATGAAGAGATATATACTGAATAGCTACTGTGATTGTTACAGTTGTTTCCTTACCAGTTTTCCAGATTCTTCCCTTGCTCCCCGTTCAGTTTTCTGAATACTGTAAGTCAGATCTTGTCACTGCTGTCTTCAAAACCATCCAATGCTCCCATCTCATTGAGAATATCCAAAGTTCCTATAGAGGCCTTATGAACCTTACATAATAGGACCCATATCTCTCTACTCAAGCCAAGGGATGTCCTTGTTTCATGAACACACCAGGCACACTCCTGTGTCAAAAGTCAAATGTCAAATGTGCTATTCCTCTGTCTGGATATTCCCCTTAATGTCTTCATGGTTTACTCCCTTACCTTCAAGTCTTTACTCAAATGACATCTTCTCAGAAAGGCCTTTCCTGACCATCCTATTTAAAAATAGCACCCTTGCCTCATCTGTTAACACTCCTTTACCACCCATTTGTTTCCATACCATTCATTATCTGGCATTACTATGTAGTTTACTTATTAAATATATTTAATGTCTTTCCCTGTACAAGGGCAGTATTTGTTTTTGTTTTGACTGTTGAATTTCCAGAGCCTAGCACAGTGCCTGGCAAATGAACAGACACTTAAACTATTTATTGAATGAGTCATACAAAGTGTTGTGGAAAATGCACTGGTAGGAAGCCAGACTGGCAGCAAGAGTACCTGTTAAAAGTAATGCAGATGATGGTGGTCTAAACTACTGAAGATCAAAAGTAGACAGATGTAAGAGCTACTTAGAAGGTGCACCAGACAGTACCTGTTTTTCCAGTTAAGGATGAGAAGTAAGAGCGAGATGTCACTCTCAGGTTAGAGTATAGTGGTGCCATTCACTGAGATGCAGAACATTAAGAGCAAATGTGGTGTGGGAGGTAGTGGGCATGTGAAGAGGGAGATAATGAATTCCCATTTGAACATACTGACTACTGGAGTCAGTGGAACATTCAGGTGGTTGTTCCAGTTAGGAGATAGATATTACAGCCTGGAGCTCCAGAGAGCCATCTGGCCTGGAGACCGAGTTTTGGAAGTGAGCAGCACGTGTAATAGAAGCCCTAGAAACGCAGAACATCTCCCTGGGACAAAAATTAGGAAGTAATCCTGAAGAACAGTAGCATTTTTAAGGGACACTTAATTTCATTTATTCCTTAGACTAATTCTATAGAGATAAGTAATATATTATCACGTTTTTACTATGAGAACACCTGAAGCTTGGAAAAGTTAACTTGTCAATTAGATCTGACATTCAAACTTTGCCTAAGAGTTTCCAAAATCAGTGTTCCTTTGTATATCTCAACGCATTTTACAAAGTTAGTGCTTACTGGTTAAAACCTCTGCCACCACCCTCCTCCACCCCCTATATTTGACTTGCTAATTCACGAAGGTATGTGATGGAAAAAGTCATGCATGAGGTGGCTTGTCACAGTCCTGGGATATAACTCTTGTGTTATTTTGGGAAGTTGTACACATCCCTACAACCTATATTTCAGTGTTGAGGTGAAAATATTTGTTGGTCACTGAGTGCTATTTACATTCACAGCTTTCACTCAATATGCTATAAATAAAGGGATCCTTGTTACATTTTTATCCAGTGTGGGGCTGAGTTACACACTAATGTCAAAAGGCTTCTGCCTTTAAGCTTATATCAATTAACGAGAGTAGTTAGTAGATATGGTTGTAAACAATATTGGCATGTTATCTTACAGTCGGCCGATATTTTTATACAATTTGAAGGGTTAAGCGAGAGATGAATTCAGCACTGCAAAGGGCTGGGCTGGAAATGGGGGCCGCCCTCATTGGCAGCTTCGTTTCCATGACAACAGTTGCTACGGTAATCACTACGCCTTCCCATTGGTTACTGCTGAGCATATTGTGAGTCCCTTGGCGGACTTCATTGGTTACCGTTTAGCAGTGCTTGTGCTTGTCGGGGGCCGTAAGTGAAGTGTCGCAAAGCAGTAGGAAGGCGGGAGTCCCGATTGCAAACAGTGAGGAATCCTGGGCTGCAGAGGCCACTATGGCGAATGCTGCGTGGGCTGAAATTCGTGAGAAATTCCAGGCCGCGCTGGCCCTTTCGCGGATAGAATTGCATAAAAATCCCGAGAAGGAACCGTACAAGTGCAAATATGGCGCTCGATTGCTGCTGGAAGAGGTCAAGGCGCTGCTCGGCCCCGCGCCTGAGGACGAGGATGAGCGGCCTCAGGCGGATGACGGCTTGGGCGCGGAGGACCACGCCCTGGGGCTGCCGGCGGAGGTGGTGGAGGTCGAGGGGCCCGTCGCCCAGGGGGCAGTGAGGCTGGCGGTAATTGAGTTCTATCTCGGGATGAACCACATCGACACCGAGGAGCTGTCGGCGGGGGAGGAGCATCTGGTGAAATGCCTGAGGCTGCTGCGCAAGTACCGGTTGTCGCAAGACTGCGTCTCTCTCTACATCCTGGCGCAGGTGAGAGCGAGCCTGGCCCGCGGCTGTCGGCCAGAGGCGCGGGGAAGGAGGGGCCCCCCACTCATGCTACGGACAAAGGCAAATGTTATAAGGCACAATTTTCCCCACGTATTTGAAGCTTTGGGATAAGCGGCTTCCAAACTCCCTCTCCACCCTCATCGCTCACTTCAACATCCCTTGCTGCTTCGCCCTCCTGCAGTCGTAAATGCCTTTTCTTCACCTGTCCAAATCTTGTTCATTCTATTATGAAAAAATCCAAAGTAATTTTAGTCTTAATTTAAGGTCTTAAGGAAATTACAGAGAATGACCAGAATACATTCTTAATTGCAAAGTATCTAAAATCTTCAGTTTCTATTTTTGCCGTATTCATTCGTTTGTTCCTCAGAGAATTCCTGCCCATTCTTTAAAACCCGTCTCAAGATTCACCTCATACTTTGAGTAACTTCCTTTGGATCATTTTGTTCCCAGTTGATCTCTTCCCTCGTACCTTTGAATTCTTATTGTTTCCCGTTTATGTGGTACTTGGTTTACTAAGAAATCTGATCTCATAGGGAACATAACACTTCAAAATACAAATATGGGTGAACTCTTTGTACATGCCAGGCACTTTGCTTAAGCTCACAAACCTTTAAGCTCACGTCCAGTAGTTCCAGTTTCTAATATTTGTGATCCGGGGAACATTTACCAAAATTGATCATACGGTAAGTAGGCCTCAAAGAAAAAAATCTCAATTAAAAAGGAAATTGTATAGTCATATTTTATCATGGTCCAATAAAGTTAAAAGCTACCTAATAACTTTTAAATACCTGTATAACTACATAAAAAAAGAGCTATATATATTTTTTTGCTCACTATTTATAACCCCAGTTTCTGGCACCTTGTAGGCAATTCTAAATATTTGTTGAGTGGATGAATGATCTAATGAAATCCATAAGGTGTTGAATTCAGACAAAACCTCAATTATTTGATATTTTCTTTAACTGTCTGGCTGCTTAAGATCTTAAACATGTAAAAAATTACTTCAATATCTCAAAAATAGAATGAGAAGCTTTCCTTAATATAATAAAGAATCTCCAGTATTTACTATATTTTATTTTAATATGCACACTCTTTCATATTTTAATAACTGAAATCAGGTTGCATCTTACAGCTGATTGATTCTGTGTCATAACTTGACACTTTTCTTTCTTTTTTTTTAACTTTATTGGGGAACAGTGTGTTTTTCCCAGGACCCATCAGCTCCAAGTTAAGTTGTTGTTGTTCAATCTTAGTTGTGGATGGCGCAGCTCAGCTTCAAGTCCAGTTGCCGCTTCAGTCTAGTTGTGGGAGGCGCAGCCCACCATCCCATGCGGGAGTTGAACTGGCAACCTTGTTGTTAAGAGCACACGCTCTAACCAACTGAGCCATCAAGCCACCCAGGGACTGTTTTCTTTTTGATGCATAAAATAACTGTCTTACAAATTGTGACATCTTACATTCAATGAAACACAGTATTTCAAACAGCCAACCTTTTCTAAAGGGTGAATTATTAGAGGTATTCTTTGCTCCTACAAAAATCAGGAGCAAAACCTTGATTAGAAGTTCTGGCCATTCCAATATATAAAAAACAAATTAGTTATTTTGGAAAAATAAAATAATTTATAAAAATTCATCATTTGCATATGTGATTCTTGTATACCTAAAAAATCTGAAAACATCAACTGAAAAACTATTAGAATTATCCGTTTGATAAAGCAGGAGGCTATAAGGTAAATATATCAATAGTATTCCTGTATATAAGCAATAACTTGTTAAAAATATTTTGAGAAATTGCATTCACAACAACAATATTAGGGGTAATAAAACTGATAGCCTTAAAAGGAGAGATATAACATGTTCCAGGGTGGCAAAATTAAACATAATAGTATCAGTATCCTGATACTCATTTATAGGTCTGATGCAATTCCTGCTGAAATCACAATAGGTTTTTTTCTTAGAATTTGACAAAATGAATATGTTTATCTGAAAGAATAAAGAAAATTGAATGTAAAAATGAAAAGTAATATACTAAAACTAACCTACCAGGTACTAAAACAGTATAGCAGTAGTAATTTAATTAGATTCTATATGTGCTAGTCTGTTTCTGAACTTTACTGTTCAGTTGATCTGTTTATTCCAGTGGCATTACCACACTATATAGTATTTTATTACATTTAATATTGGCTATACATGATGAGAAATTTGACCTTACTAATAATAAAGCAAACTAAAAGAAGGAAATAGAAAAATTGTATCAGATTGGCAGAGATTATTAAAGATATTGATTACATTAATGAATGTAATTGGAGAGACTGTGAGGAAATATTAATAGATAGTATCCATTAGCATTATTGCTAGTGGAAATATAAATTCATAGAACTTTTCTGGAAATCATTAGGTATCAAATCTCTTGAGTCAAGACTTTTACTTAAAAATTCAACGTCAAGTTTGAGCTCTGAGCAACAGCAGTTCGAGTCCAGCCCGAGCTGAGCAGCCGCTGAGCTGCCAACAGGTAGCAGGATGGCTCAGCTAAAAAAAAANACAGCAGTTCGAGTCCAGCCCGAGCTGAGCAGCCGCTGAGCTGCCAACAGGTAGCAGGATGGCTCAGCTAAAAAAAAAAAAAAAATCAACGTCAATATTCTAAAGAAATATTGGGACAGGTTTACAAAGGTATGTTAACATGGATGTTCATCACAGAATCATTAATTTTTAAAAAAGAATAAAATATCAGTAGATAAATAATTAAGTATATACTCGTACATCTATGTTGGAGAGTATGCAGCCATTAAAAATAGATTTATATTTGTTAAGCAAAATATTAATATTGAGAAGGAAATGGACAACTGTAAGGGGTTTGGAATTATGTAGAATGATTTCGTTCTGGTAAAAGACTGCGTGTGTGTGTGTGTGTGTGTGTGTGTGTGTGTGTGTGTGTGTGTGTGTGTAGGGAAAAGTTTGAAAGGATCAGTTTGTGGGAATTTATATTTTGACTGCGTTATCTCAACCTGGTGTCTCCTTCCTGGGAAACTATGGATATACAGAACCTGGACCCACATGAGATGATCAAGAGACTTTCCCCTTCTATCTTCAACAGGTTCTGGGGCCTTAGGAATGATTTTTCTTCTTCTGATTTTTGTTATCAGCAGTATTCACTTGCATTGTCATCTTGGGTGAAATTTAACTACTTTAGTAAAATTCCCTAACAAATTAGTAGATTATTTTCCCCACTGCCAGGGTACATATGTGTAGAAGTACTTTTTGTGTGTGTTTATAGCTTTATTGAGGTACAGCTTGACTCAATAAACTGCACATATTTACAGTATACAATTGGATGAATTTTGACATACATGTAATGAAACAATCAATGCAGTCAAGGTAATAAACATATTCATCACCACTAAAAGTTTTCTTGTACTCCTTTGTGATCCCTTCCTCCCTCCTTTATTCAATCTCTCTTCTCCTTGCCCCCCTCCCCTACATTTTCGTAATGGAATCATACAGTGTATTCTTTTGGTCTGTCTGACTTCTTTCATTCAGCATCATTTCTTTGCTGTGTCTGAGATGATCATTATTTATTTTTTATTGTTTATATGGTGAATTTCTTTTGTCTTAAGAAGTTTTTATTTTTCAATTATAGTTGACATACAATATTATATTAGTTTCAGGTGTACAACATACTCATAGTGATGAGACATTTATACTTGTATCACATATGAAGTGATCCCCTTAAGTCTTGTACCCACCTGGCACTATACATAGCTACTACAGTATCATTGACTATATTCCCTAAATTGTAGTTTACATCCCCGTGACTGTTTTGTAACTGCCAATTTGTACTTCGTAATCCCTTTACCGTTTTCACCCATTCCCCCAACCCTTCTCCCACCTAGCAACCGTCAGTTTGTTCTCTGTATCTGTAAGTTTGTTTCTGTTTTGTTTGTTTGTTTTGTTTTTTAGATTCCACGTATAAATGAAATCATATGGTATTTTTCTTTTTCTGATTTTTTAAAAGATTTATTAAAATATAGCTAATATACAGTTATTATATTAGTTTCAGGTGTATACCAGTGATTCAATATTTATATACCTAAAGAAGTGATCACCATAAGTCCAGCAACCATCTGACACTGTATCACATTACCACAATATTATTGACTATATTCCCCATGCATTACATCTTCATATTTATTTGTTTTATACCTGGAAATTTGAACCTCTTATTCCCCCTTCACCTTTCCCCCGCTTTTAAAATTTTTCAATTACAGTT